GAACCCCTCCCCCGAGCAGGGGAAGGAGGGGGAAAAGAAAAAAACAAACTCGCTATACCACCGTCGCCCTAAGGGCTGGTGGGATTTTAGCCATATGTTCATGGTTGGAGGGCGGGCCGTTTTCAACATGTGGCCCTCGCCTGAGCGCCGCGCCCGTTCGCCTTCGATCATTGGAAGGGCTTCGCGGATGGAGGGCGGGCCGTTTTCAACATGCGGTTATCGTTTTCGCGCCGTGCGCATTCATGTTGAACAGTGGCAACAGCTTCACGGATGGAGGGTGGCTCCTGCTTAACATGATGTTCACGTTTCAGCCGCACACATTCGTCTTCAAATCGTTGCCAGCGTTTCACGGATGGAGTACGGGCCACTTTAAAAATGTAGCTTTCGCTTTCGCGCCGCGCGCATTCGTCTTCAAATTTCAAGCTTCGGAGGAGCTTCGCATATGGAGGTCTCGCCGTTTTCAGAGTTAAGTTATCGCCTGAGCGCCGCGCATATTCTTTTCAGACAGTTGCAAGAATTTCACGGATGGAGACCAGACAGTTTTCAAAATGTTGTTCTCGCTGGAGCACCGCGTACATTCGTTTAAACAAGTTGCAAGCAAGAGCTTCACGGATGGAGGGCGGTTCATTTTTAAAAGGCGTCTCTCGCTTCAGCGCCGCGCGCGTTCTGTTTAAAGAATTTCATGGATGCAGGGTGGCCCGTGTTCAAAATGCGGCAGCAGCGTTACCGATTATCATGATTAGCGTTTGAGAAGTTGTGCTTGGGCAGGGCGCAGCTGTTACGCTGACTCGCGGTGTTGAAGTCCTAGGGCTGGTGCTCTGGTGCGGTTTAGGGTCCGTCAAAATGAAACGAAGTCCCGGCGATGGTGTTCTGGTACACTTCCGGATTTTCAATCGGCTGTATTCTAACGGGGCATTCTTTCGGTGAAAACCCTTGCACGGGTTTGTGGAGAGGGTTGTTTTGGAATGTTTGCAATTCTTGACGCTTCGGGAATCCCCACCAGCCCATCCAGAAGCAATGCCCATCAGAGTTGACAGGGGGAGAGAGGAAGAGACCTACATAGTCAAACAGCGAGGGAGGCTTGGGAGGTTCCGTGGCCATCTCGAGCCGTCTTGGAGCGGTCGTGGGGCCGCTTGGAGCATTTTGGGAGCCATCTTGAGCCAGCTTGGGCTATCTGAGCCATCTTGGAGGTCATCTTGGGCTTTCTGAGGTCGCTCGGGGACCTCTTGGGTGCCTCTCGCATGCCTCTTGGAGCCCTCTTGGGGCCTCTTGGGGCGCTCTTGGAGCCCTGTTGGGGGTCTCTTTGGAGCCCTGGAGCGCCTCTTGTGGCTATCCTGGAGGCGGTCGGTCAAAAGAGGGGGGGGGTACTAAATATAGCTCCCCCCCTTGGGGGCCACGATCCTGGTGAGGGGTGTCAGAAATTGGCCCTCCCAGGGGCCGAAAAGGACCCTCTGACACATCGATCCCCCTCCCGAAAAACCTCAGGGAGGGCAGGGGGAGGGTTCCCTTCCCCGAAGGGAAGAGTGGTTGTGGAAGAGGAAAGAGACCCTCCTTAGACCACCTGTCGCCCAAAGGCTGGTGGTATATTGTTGATGAGCCGTGGTGTACACTGGTCCTTTTCCTTCTCCTCCTCCTCCTTTTGTTGTCTTCCCCTCCTCCTCGTCCTTGTTCTCTCGCCTCCTCCTTCCTCCACTCGAACGGTATGTCTTATATAGCTTCCCTTGTCTCTTGCCGAGTCGTCTCCCCTCCGCGCCGCCCTTTTCGCTCGCGGGTACGGACGACGGCCGCTTTCCGTGCCCCTTGTGTACTCTTTTTAGACTTGTTTTACTCACCTGATCGCAAGCATAACCATCCGTTTGCACCCCCATATCTCATCTCTCATCTCTTAGCTGGTAGCGGAGCTCTGGTTCCCTTCCACTGCCTTTGGTACCATGGCCCGCGTGGCACTCGCTCGCCCCGACAGGTGTCTACCACCAGGACTCCCACACCTCTTCGTATTAGGGCCTCCGGCAGGCCATCGGCGCGATTGATCGTTGTCGCGATGTTTTTTCCGGTGTTCGTGACCGGGGATTCGTTTTACGACAACCAGTACAATGATTAAAAGCATCACCATCAACAAGGCCGGCGACCCGCCGCCCCTCATTGCTTCCTATCCTGGGCTTGCCCAGACAATTTTTGGGGAGCTCGTGGGCCTGGAAGCTGACGTCTCCCCACATATGGCAATACCCGCAGCCAGGGATTCAGCCGCGTATATCGAACAGTTGATTGATGCTGCATTCACACATGTGATGCCAGCCGAGGTCCCCGAATTTCCTGCGACTATGTCACGATGTTCCTGGGAAGAGCCGCAGGAGACCAGGTTGGAAGTCCATCGAGGGGCTGGCGATCATGTCGTTAGCACTCGAAGGGGCAGAGGAACAGACTTGTGCCTATCTGTCTTCAATCTTTTGGAGCGTGACCAATCGCCACACCCGCTCATTCCCTTGTAGCTCTGGCAGGAGGAGATCCCGATGCGCACTCCTCTCGACGATCGTGCAGTTGGCGGTATTCACTACAATGACGACACGACACACCACGAGCATTCCCACAACTGGGTTTTGGGGCGTTCCGAATGCCGAGAACGCACCAACATTAAACATTACGACGGATGATCACGCCCAATGCGCTGACGAGGAGGGGTGCCTCCCGGGCAGGTGCCCACGTCGGCTCAAAGGCTCATGGTCGGACGCCGTCGGTGTAACTCGTAGACCCATCGGAGGGGGCGTGCTTGCCGCGGCCATCTGCCTGCCCTGCATGGGCGCAGGCGAGGGCGGCAACGAGCGGTGCCTCCGCACCTGGGGGCCCGAACAGCAATATTGAATGCCTTTTTTTCAGCGGTGCGTCTGGAGGCGACGATCTGGTCAGTGGCGAGCTCAGACCTCGACGAGCTTCGCCAGGCAGCCTTCGCATGATCACGACTCACTGGCATGACGCGTGAGTTCGCGAGCGACTGGCCGCTGGCTGTCCTGATCCACGGAGGGCGCATCAACGGCAACCCGGTGCCGCCCATGACCATGCCAATGCGCAGCTTGGCCGAACCATGGGGCCAATTGAGGGAGGGCGCACGCACTTCAGCAGTCGCAGCGCTCATGAATTTCAACAGGCCACCTCAGGAGCGCGTCGACAACCTCTGTTTCGGTATCCTCCGCTAGCGCGCACAACGATCTGGTCAACTCATGATCGGCTGCGAGGGCTTCAGCTACCTCCACTTGCTCGCGATCGGAGTGTCAAACATCCAGGTGACCGTGATCTTGCAGCACAGCGACATGGCCTACCCGATCGGCGCAGCACAGCTCGCGCACATGACGCGCCTGTTGCAACTCTCTTGGCGCGTGATCGCAGGGTCGCCCGGCAATCTCGCCTCGGGTGTCCATTTGGCCCAACAGCAGAGTTTCCTCGCGGGTACTCCCACCCAAGATCATGCTCAGAGTGTCTATGGTATACGGCCGGATCGAGCTGGGGCGGCCTGGGCCTAACTGCGCTGGGAGCGGCGCCGAGTGCACTTGTGCCGGCGCAGCCGGCGCAGGGGGCATCCCCGGCAGCGGGCGTCGACTCAGGCGCCGACGCCGACGCAATCAGCTCATCCGGCGCAGGAGAGATAGCCGCCGATCGCCCCGAACCGCGCGACGCTCTTGTGAACCAGCGGGGTGCGCGCGATTGCTCTGGGCTTGCGAGCGCGCCGAACCACGCCTGCGACGCTTCGAAAACCGCAAGTCCACGCGCCGCGTCCGGAGGGCCATCGAACGGATATGCAGGGGCGACGGTAAAGGGCAACCGCGTCTTTGCCGATTTATCCGACAATGTCCTCCGAGAGACGGTCGCAGGTCTGTGGGGAGGTAGAGGTGGGGGAAATTTGAGATTCAGGGCCATGGGCATGGGTTCGGGCCGACGGGGCGACCCCGTGGGCCCTGGCGGGGCGCGTCTCAAATACCCCGAGTGCGACTTAGGGAAGCACCTTGTGCGCAAATGCCCCCGGGGCCGCGGCCGAGGGCGTCGCTCTCTGCCTCGGCGCCGACGCCCCGCTGCCAGCGCCCCGCGCTAAACGATCGCGGCCCGCGGGCCAACGGAAGGCGCCCCGCGGGCGAGCGCGGCGCGAACCAGGGGGGGGCCCGCCGCCCGCGGGCCAGCGCGCTGCCGCCCCGACAGATGCGGTTAAACGGGGGGAGAACAGACCCGGCAAACCTGGGGAAGCTGCGCGGCGCGGCTTTCGCAGATGTCGCGAGGCTCGGGCGCGCTACAATGGCGCCCCGGGAGGCCGCCGAGGCTCGCGAGCAGGACTGCCGCGCCCGCGCGCGCGAGCTCGAGGTCCAAGACATGATGTGGCCACTTTGTCAACGACGTGCGCTACCTCGAGATATTATCTTTGGGCGCCCACCTGGAGGCCGCCCGGGCCAGGCGGATCTACGGCCGCGCGGCCTTCGCCCGCGATTGCAGCGAGCGGCGGGTTTCCTAGGCGCGCGTCTTCTGATGCGGTCGGTCGGGCGGGCAGGCGTGCGCAGCGGCCGCGCGGCCCCCGCGTGGCTCCTCGCCAGGGTGGGGTTAGGTGCCGCCCCCGTTCTCCTATCTCTCTCTGTGTCTATTCCTTTGTTCCCTTTCTTCCGCCCCCCCCCCTTCGCCCCCCTTCCCGTTTTTGTTTTTCCCCCCGGGGCGCCGTTGGCGTGGGCTTCGGCGTCGTCTTCGTCGCCGTCGTCGTCGTTCCGTGGGCGCCCCCCTGCCCCCCCCGGCGCTGCGCCCCCCCCCGCCCCGCCTTTTCCCGCCGCCCCCCCCCCCTTATCCTTCCTCTTTGAAGCCGTTCTGCCCCAGGTGGGTTTGCTGCGGTCTATCTGCAGAGCGGCGCCGACGCGGCGAGCTGATTTTGGCTTCAATGCAGGCGCGGACAAGATGCACCAACGCATGTCATCCAACGCGCGAGGAATGCAGCCGAGGCCGAGATGCAGCAGCCCGCGCCCGCCCCGCCCGAGCGTTTTGGAACGGCGGGCGGAGGCAAAGGTAAAGGCGCGCCAGCACCTGTGCCGTGGAGCGAACAACGCAAGCAGATGCAGAAGCAGATGGGGAATCTCACGGCCGAGCTCAAGCGCGTCGAGGCTGCCGAGGGCCCCGCGGCGCCTGAGACGGCAGACGAGAAGCCGAAGGACTCCGCGGACTCTGATAAGACCAATGTGAAGAGATGTGCTTTCCAGTAGCGCATTGACCTCCTGGGCCAGTGCATCGGGGACACCGAAGAACTGGATGAAAACGACCCAGGCCCCCCTGCAGCGCGCAAGCGACTCGACGAACTTCGAGAGGAACATCGCGCCTTCCGCCCACCCGCGTCGGCGCGCAAGGCGACCCCCCAGAAGCTTGAGCGCTGCAAGGGTCAACGAACGAAGTTCGAACAAGGGCTGGCCGCGCCCAGCGAGGAGCTCGAGGCCATGCAGAATGACATTCGCGGGAAGCAGACGGCCATTGAGGCGAAGGCCAAAGAGAATGAGGTCCTCGATGATGGCGTGGCAGCCATTGCCGCGAAAGTTCGTCAACAGCGAGGTGAAGCTCGATTGCGAGCGGGTGCGCCTGAAGACTTGATCACCAGGATTGGAGCGTAGCCCGGAGTCTCGAACGATCCGGTTCGATCCTGAGATGCAGATTTTCTCCGCCGACCTCGGCAGTCACCGCGACTTCAACCAGTTCCAGCAACTGTTGCGCAAGTCAGCGGGGAATGTGGCTGAGCCCAAAGTTGTCCAGATGGGCGGTGCAATTGGTGCTGATCCTCCTGATGGCCGTGTGCTCCAGCCTGGCGTCGGGTCAATTGACCCGACGCCAGGCTGGAGCTACCGGTGGAGCTTGACCCGACACCGACGCCGCTGCTGGTGGAGCGAAGCGACCTCCCCCTGACGCTACCGTTGAGGAGGCAAAGGAGCTTTGGACCCAACTTCAGCAATAAGGAGACGGACGAGCTGGACCTGACATGCTCGCCGCCCTTGTCAACGGCTTCCATCGGAACAAGCGCCGCAAGCTGGCAGGAGCAAGCACGGGGTGTACCTGACCACCTGCCACGGGTCAGCGGACTCGCTGTGGCTGCTGGTCACCCTCGTGAGGTTCCTGAACCGCGAGATGAGCAGCTCCAGACGAGGCTCCTGGAGACGCTCAACGCTAACCAAGTGCGTGATACTCTTGAGAAGCGATTGGAGCGTACTTGTGCGCTGGTGGTGTTGGCGCCAGAAATAGGGTACTTTGCCGGCAATGCTGAGGAACTGTCTTCATGGACAAATCGGCGAGGATGGAGCTCGTTTATTGAACCTGGTCATGCGACACAGGTCATATTATGGCTGCTGGCGTTGCTGTTTTGCACGTGAAGCAGTCGGCCTTCGTCGGCCTATTGTCGATGGCCATTGTGTCTCTGGCGCTCTTTCTGCCCACCGTGTGTTGCACGTTGTTGTGGATGTGCCAGGATGGCCGCCTATGAACGCATCCAACCTGCATCTTCACTGCGTCGAAGGTTTGACGGTGAGAAATTCGAGAGTCCTGGCTAGTATTGGGCAGTTTCTTGCTGGCCTGACATCTCCGAGTATCATTGGTGGCGGTTGGGATCTTGATGCGGGAGTTTTGGAATTGTCCAATGACCCTGCCCAAGCTCAGGCATCAATCGTGGCACCAGCTTCCGTAACATGCGGGGCGGCGACAGGGGCGCGCGCGATGGACTTGTTCTGTCTCAGTGCTGGTGCGCACCGCTTGCTGCAATCCGTGCAGGTTGACGCTGCGCGGGGCAAGAAGCCGCGTCGACCTGTCCAACTTGCCATGGCGGCGTCGGGGCGACGGGTTCAAGTTTTATCTTATTCAGTTGCGCCCAAGTTAGCGGCTGCCCTTGCTGTGGGGCTTTTCCTTGGGGATATTGATTGGTCTCTGGAACAGCGCTATGCTACACAAGCCCTTGAGATGTCGAAGGAGGCTGCCGCCGACTCTGCATGGGGCTGCTTGGCACTCGCTCGGGGCCAGTCTGTCTCCAATGCGGCTTAGAGGCTTGGGCGCATGACAGGCGCAGAAGTTCGACGGAAGAGATGCACGGGGACTTGAAGCTCTTGCAGATGGTTGGAAGTGGCCCTGCGATGCGTTACTTGGTACCAGCTTGCTGAAGCAAGGGTCCATTGACGGCAATGCACAGAAGCCTGTTCTACTGGAGGGCGAGTTGATGCTGTTCCAGACTTCGTCGCATGCTGGATGCGACCTAAGTCAAAGATGTGATGCTGGTGTGGAGCGGGCGCGCCGGATCACAGCAGTGCGCCTTTCCTTGGACCCATGCGCGATTTCCCTGAAACTATTGATGAAGATGCTCGTGCTGCTCAGCAGGCAGCTGGTAAAGACTCTTTTGCACGATGGGGGGACTGGCGCGGCCAAGCTGCTGCTGGGGGCGCGCGTGGCTTGCGTCGAATTACGCAGGCCAAGCAAGTTCAGGAGACGACTGTCCCGCGGTCTCCAGACGGACTTCTTTCAGCCCATTGTCATGCCGTAGTTGAGGCACAAGGTGAGGCTACGGCGAAGAGTATTGCAAGCTTTGGAACGTGACCACGGCTGCGCCGCAGGCATGAATTCCTGACAGAAGCTCGGCGCCGAGGGCAAGTGCTAGGGAGATCCCAAACGTTGCGCAAACCTTTTCCCCTCTACAGCTGGCAGACTTGGCGGATTTCATCCACGCCACCTTCTGTTGCTGAGCGACGAGAGCCTAACGATCCTGGGCATCATCATTGAGGCGATCGAGTTACTGGGGGTTCTGCCGGAGCAGATGTCGTGGATATACATGCCGATGCTTCCCAAGCCACTTAGGGGGCACATATTGGTTGTGCTGCGTGGATCCGCATATCGAGCGTGGCAACGGCTTCGCCGCCCTGCCCCTGACCAGTTCCAACATTTGCTTTCGCGAGTATATCGGGGAGCTGCTACAGGACGGTGTGCGATTTATTCGGTTTGGCAAGTTGCTGCTCGGGTGGAAGCACGCGTGCAGGAGAACCGCAAGTGCCTCCAAATCATCGCAGGCGGCAGCAAATACTACGAGACAATCGAGCTGATTGAAGTACGAGAATGTTGCAGATAGGGGGCCCCGACGAGTTTGACGAAGCTGCTCTTCAACACTTGGTCGGCTCCTCGTATCATCCGTCTCATGCGTCGCCGCAGTCGTCAACCAGTTCATGCTCTTCGTGGTTTCCCTGCTGGTGATGCGTCTGCCGATGTCGGTATCAAAGTTCACGCGCTGGAGGAGTGCGACCGTTTCGTCTCTTTGCCCAGTGAGCTGTTTTTCGTTTCTCGCATAGAGGGCATTAGTCCTGGAGCGGAGGCGGGCACCAATGAGGAGTTGATCGGTGCAGCCGTTCGGATCGGACGTAGCTTCCAAGCTACAGATGCTCGCCTTGGCGCCGCGATCAACGACGAGCTAGCTGTGATATGTTCTGACAATGGAGTTGGTCGTGTAGTTGCTGAAGAACTCGGCCTCTCTGGCTCGGCGGGCAAGCGTTCAGCTACCTACCTCGGCACCGGTCAGGCTGGAGGAAGATCGAGATGTGCAGCTTCAATCAGGAATAAGGGGCATGGCCGACGCCGTCGTTTTAGCCAGAGGATGCGTAAGTTTGCTCGATACCGAGGTACCCTTCCAACGCAGAAGGCTGCAAGGGCTGGGGATGTTTTCAGGACTGGAGCAAGGCCTGCTCTCGCGTGCGGAGTTGAGATTTCTGGCCTTGCAGATGCTGAATGGGTTTCTCTACGAAATCGGTATTTCAAGTTTGTGAAACCATGCCATGGTGGGGCATCAGCTAGTGCTAAAGTTGCGCTGGTTGGAGACCCC